CAGGTGGCATGCGAAATGGAGATGATGTTCCAGAAGGCAGAAGCTGGACTGTACGATAGCCAGTATATGTATTGTATTGAAGATTGTGTATGAAGTGTACAGAAATACTAGCTCGTTTCCTCTCAACACAAAGAAAATGATAGGATTTGACCACATACCCCATATACAGTTGGTCGTTTTTCTCCCTTCCCCGTCTTTTTTGGGGTCTGACATATTTCACTTTTTACCTTGGAAGAAGTATGTAGAGTTGGTGAGCCTTTTCTTGTTTTCCTCATTAAATTTGAGTGGGTGTTTATTCATTTGGTTTTTTTTTCTTCAACTTCTTTTCTTTTCCATTTTTGGTTTCTGGAGTGGATGAGTGATTGCACTGTAAAACGGGTGATTATTGTGTGTAAACTGTAAATTATACTGTTGTGACCAATAAGAAGGTTGATGCCATTTTGATTTGTGCTACCTCATAATTTCTTTTCTTTTTCATCTTCATTAAATCTGTGTCTACTGTTCTATGTGTTTATGCAAGTAGAATCATCATCTATGGACTTTATGGAAATCTCACAGGCTTAAGCTCAAATCGAGTCAAATTTGAAATCTTTGTGTAAAATTGAAAAACAAATAAATAAGAGAAGGATATCAAAAAATGTATGTGGGTATTTTATTGCTTTTTGGTTTTGACTAATTATTCTATTTTATTTTTAGATGAATAAATAACTTTATTTTGACAAAAGAAAATATTTAGAGTTCTATTTGATGTATAACTGGAGACTCGAAAACCTATCTCTAATCACATAATTGTATTGTTGTTGCCTATAAATAAGGGGTTAATTGTATTGTTGTTGCCTATAAATAAGAGGTAAATATTTACGTCTAAAATACATTAATATTTAAAGCGTACAGCCACTCGGCTATACTTTTAAAATATTAATATATGCAAACCGTATAGCCTCTTATAAAATTTTCGTATAAATTTAAAGAGTATAGCCGATTAGTACATATTTAAAGAGTAAAATATTCTTATAAGACGTATAGCCGCACGGCTAAACTATTAACATATTAGTAAATATTCAACTAGTATAGCCGAGCGGCTATATGTTCAAATAAATTTAAGACGTCACCGAGCGGCTATATGTTCAAATAAATTTAAGACGTCTAGCCGCCCGGCTATACTTTTAAATTTTTAACACATGTATACACATTTAAAGAGTATAGCCGCACGGCTATACGTTTAAAATATTCGTATATATTTAAAAAGAATATAGCCGATCGGCTATACACTAACCCGACTGCGTAGGTAAAAGTCGGAGAAGTCGGGTCGGACTTTAGCACATCCAGGCCCAGTTACTAGCCCACCCAAGTCCCCGGAGCATCCATCAACCTGAAAGAGTGGCCCGAAACCCGATCCGCTTCATCCCTAATTGGAATTTGGGAGGGAGGAAGAAAGAGAAGGCCACAGAGAGACAGAGAGAGAGAGGCGCCGTGGGGCTTTGGTTTTTCTCTCTAGTTCTAAAGACATACAGAAATGCTTCAGCAGAGCTCCTGCTGCTGTGACTCTTTTGGATTTAGGCCGTGTTCGGTTGCATCAAAAAAAAAAAACGCATTCTCTTGCTACA